CGTTTTCAACAAACAGGAGAAGGGGTGAAGGTGGGTCACTGGCGCCGTAAAATCAGTTGCTTTGGACAGATGGGGTTCGTTAACCTTGGAGGGCTGGTCATCTAGCAAGGTAAACTCCAATTCCAAACTTCCGCTGCCTTGTGACCATACCCACTTATGGGAAAGGCTAGGGGAGTCAACCCCGAAAACAAATCCAGAGATGGAGTCCCTAAAGGAAATCTGACATTCAACATCCTTCTGGCAACTCCTTGGTACCAAGCTGTGTTGACATCAGTTGGCAGTGGAGTCAAACAAGGTTGTGTTCTTGCGCCGACACTTTTTGGCATCTTCTTCTCCACGCTTCTCCAATATGCCTTAGAAACTGTGGCGAGGGAGTCTACATTCACACCAGGGATGACAGCAAACTGTTCAACAGCTCCCATCTCTGTGCTAAGACTAAAATCAAAAAGTTACTCATCCGTGAGATGCTTTTTGCCAATGATACTGCTGTCTGTCAACTGATTCTCCCATGCCTGCAAGACTGACCATCAGTCTGAAGAAGACCAACGTCATGGCCCAGGATACAAACTCCCCTCCTACTATTGTCATTCACCAGGAAAACTTGGAAGTAGTCAAAAATTTCATCTACCTTGGATCCACCATCTCCAATCCCCTCTCAAACCACAGGTAGAAATCAGGTATAGGACGTAAATCTGGAGATGGTCATTGCAAAACATTGGTTCTGTATTTCTTAAACCATCACTGTGTTGATTTGATTATATGTTTCGGGCCATTGTTATGCTGAAGATTAATTTACTCCTAAGCCCATAATAGAGACAACAAGGTTTTGCACTAAAATCTTCTGGCAGAATTCAAGATGCTGTTTCAATCTTCCCAAGAGTCCCTGGATGTCTAGCTGCAAAATAACCACAACACAACAGTGATCCTCCACCATAGTTTATATGGGGCATTTCCTTAAACAGAGTCCCCGTTTTTCACCAAACATGCTGATGTGGAAGTCCAAAAATTTTTATTTTATTTACATTAGATAAAAAAAAAAAACCACTTCCAAGTGTAGATTAAATGAGGCTTGGTGAAGTTCAAGTGCTATATTTTGTAAGCTTTCCGGATGGACATATTTTATGTGAGTCTTCCAAACAGCTTGTTGTTATGGAGGTGACAATACTTGATTTTGAAACTTGACAAATCCAAGTATCTTGGGGTTCATTGCATCCCTCACCATTCTCTACAGTCCCTGACAAAAGTCTTGTCGCTTATCTATTTTGTAGAAACACCTGCTATTAACCTGACTTTTAATTAATCATTTGGTGTTAGAAATAGCTCATATGAAAAGCTAAAACCCTCCCAAATGATGTTTAATGCACTGAAATGAATTAGTTTCACTGAAAAAAATATATAATTTATTCAAAACAGAAAGGTCAAA